CCCTGTCCAGTGATATCTCAATGATATCTCAACTCCACGGGGGTAGGAGGAAGGCTGCTTAGATTATTTTTTATTCCTCACTGATAATGATAGGATTGAGAGTTACCCTTTTTTTTTAAAAAAATATTTATTTATTTTTCAGAGAGAGAGAGAGAGAGAGAACCACAAGTAGGGAGAGAGGCAGAGGGAGAGGGAGAAACAGACTCCCTGCTGAGCAGGTAGCCCGATGCGGGGCTCGATCCCCAGGACCCTGGAATCATGACCTGAGCTGAAGGCAGACGCTAAACTGACTGAGCCAGCCAGGCATCCCGAGAGTTACTCTTATAAAATACAAATCCATAGTACTCCTTTGGTCCAAATGTTAAACCTTTCAATAGTCCCCCAATATACTGAGTTTCTCTGTAAAATGGAGATAATACCATACACACCTCACAGGGTTACTTTAGGTCTAAATGAAATAGATACGTTATAGCCTTGCATGTTCCTAGCATATGGTAGTTGCTCAATAAATTCTAGGTCCTTTTATTCTCTAATTTTCTAGCCTAATGTCCAATCCAATGTTCTAGCCACACTGAGTTCTTTATCAGTCCCACACAGGAATGCCAGGAAGGCCATCCTGTCTGTCTACCTGGTGAACTCCTCATCCTCCAGAACAGACCTCGAATGTACCTCTCTTCTGTGAAACCTGCATCCCACTCCCGCTTTCTTTCTGCTTCTTCATTACCCTGTATGTGTCTCAGTTACAGCACACGCAATTCTGTTATAATTTTTTCTGTTACATTTATTTACTTATACTTTTGCTTCTCTCTTAGGCTGTGACCTCAGGAGTACAGGGACCACGGCTTATTTGTATTTGTAGAGTGTTTACAGAGTCTGGAGGAGGCGGGAAAGATGACAAAAGAGTTAGCTTTACAAAAAAGAACCGCTTCTTCCTCTGAAACAAAAGGGAAGTAACAGAAAATGACTGACAGTAAGAATGTAGCAAGAATCTTTAAAGCAAAAGGGAGGATGCCAAATCTCAAGGGGAAATCTGGCTTGAGGGGGGAAGAATACAGGAAGATGTCACCCCAAGAGATGAGGAGGGTAGGGGAGAGGTAGCGTTGGTATGGTCTGATCCTTCTCCTTCCTAGATGTGTGAGGTCTCAGGATGTACTCAGCACCTGGGCTGGCAAGAAGGGGTTGTTGGGCCTGCAGGGAGAAACGGCCTGTCCCCACAGAATGAGGCCGAATGGCCTTGCTTCACATCTGAGTCTTTCAGTCCAGCTGGAGGGAGCTGGAGCCTCCGGTTGCTGCGGAAAGGGGAGGTTTGCAGTGATTTGTATGAGGAGTGCTGGAGGGCTAGCGGTGGCGTGGAACTGTGGACGCACTGTGAGGAGGAGAGCAGGGAATTTGGGCAGCAATACAATCCCCAGAAGATATGGTAGGAGTGGCAGAGCAAAAGCAGCTGGAGAAGCGTTGGTCTGGAGGCTCTGCTATTTGTTCCAATTGGCATCTTTGATGACTGCATTGAAGTGAGTCTGTGAGTCCCTCTTGCCTTGGTGTTCTCGTGGTACAGGTGGGGGCTTAGAAACAAGAACTCATGCAACTCTGGCTCATTCTACTCTAGGCGGTTGGACTAAGCTTCTTAGATTGTTTTGTAACTTAGAAAGCACCCTTGTCAGCCATTTTCAGGTGACACTTCAAAAACAACAAGCCAGTATCTCCGTCAGAGTACTGTGATGCAAACACCAAAAATTGTGAGAAGTTCAAGAAAAAAAGAGAATTTACTGGAAGGATACAGAGTTGACAGGAAGGCTGGAGAGTTGGATATGGAAATGGGTTATAACCTAGGAAGGCCAGGCAGCAGGCACCAGAACCAAGTTCGTGCCTCAGGAACGATCTGGAATGGCCACCATTACTATATGGTAGGGAGCCCCCTACTCCCAATCCCTATGAGAGACCCACTGTGGTTGGACACCTACTGTCTCTGTTGCTCTGAATAATTCTAAACTTGTCAGTAGGTCTCGTGTCATTCCCTGAAGTTTCAAAGTTCAGAGAGAGTGGCCAGGTGGCCAAGCCTGGATCATATGTCGTGTTCTAGCCACTGATATTCTCCCTGCTTCAGCTTCCTTAGTCTTAGCAGTACTGCAAATACTGCACAGAATGGGGCATTTTCCCCAAGTAAGAAGGACTTGAGATGCTGATGGTGAACTAAAATAAAACAAAATGTCTACCATGCCCTCATCTTTCCTTTCCCTTTCCACTTATTCTGTTTTCGTCAGTTGTCAGTTGCGATCATAATCTCAGGCTCCTAGACTTGACACATTAGAATTCTCCTCATCGCCCTCATTTTCCCACACAGTGAATAACTCTCCAGATTTCTTAGGTTTGCCTTGCCTTCTGTCCCTGCTACTGTTTTAGTAAGATTACTTTGGCAACGGCATAGAGGAAAGGAGAGACTGGGAGAAATTGGGAGTCCGACTTCTAGAATGGTAGAGCTAAAAGAGACCTTTCAATTGATCTATTGTAGTGGTCTCATCTGGGAGTAGTCATAAGAATTCCTATGGCATTGAGGAAATACACATGCTGGTATTCCATCTTCAGTTTTGGGGTTCAGTAGATTTGAGGTGGAACTTCATTGTTGTTGGAGTGTGTGTGTGTACATTTCTGTGTTGTGTGTCTATGTGCACCCCGGGTTGAGAACTGCTGAATTCCAATACCCTTGTTTTAAAAATGAGGAGACTGAGGCCCACAGAGAAGTTACCTCTTTGAAATCACACGAGTTAATGAGAGGGGTAAAGGGGCCAGGACCAATCCCAGATCTCTTGGCTATTGGTCTAGTACTATGCAGACGTCTTATGTTTTCCCTCTGTAAAAGGAAATTTCCTGTCTTTATTTGTATGCAAGAAAGCATGTTGCGTGTCTATGGTTCAGCTCTTCCAACAGTAAATAGGCTTCAGATTAAGAGCCCCAAGCTGTCAAGAGTGAGCCCAGACCAAGGGCCTCATTCCTTTTTTTTTTTTTTAAGATTTATTTATTTGAAAAAGAGAGAGAGAGAGAGAGCGTGTGCATGCACACGCGTGAGCTCACACACCCATGCTCCAGCAAACCGGGGGAGGGGCAGAGAGAAAGAGAGAATCTTGAAGCAGACTCCCCAGTGAGCACGGAGCCTAATGTAGGGCTTGATCCCAGGACCCTGAGATCATGACCCGAGTTGAAATTAAGAGTTGGCCGCTTAACCAGCTGAGGCACCCGGGCGCCCCCCAAGGGCCCCATTTCTAATTGTAGTTGGCTTGATCTCTGGACCACAGGCCCCCTTGTCAGAATCTGGGAAAAGCATACTCAAGAATCTCAGCTGGGGTGTGAAATGAGGAGGATCCATAGATAAAGGACAGTTCAGCTGAAGCCATACTTCTGTTTGCCAGGATTCTGACTGGGCCTCTGTGCACACAAGACCTTGTTTCAATTCCCCAAAGACTCTTCTTTAATTCTTGACTGTTCTTTAGCCATCTGGATCTCATCTTGGGAATCGACTTTCTTTTTCCTGCTCTCTGACTTCTACCAATAACTCTGGCTTACCACCAGTTCTGACACTGTTTCCGGGCAGTCTCATGGAAACCCCGGGCCTCTGATGCCTTCCATTCCATTATGTTCCTTTTTTGATTTTGCTCTCCTTATAAAATGTATGCTTTCCTATAAAGATTCCCAACAGGAAATGCCATTTGCTTAATGTCCTCCTGTTCCAGATCTGCCTCAGTGCAAAGAAAGCAAAGGGCGGGAGAATTGCTGCAGTAGAACCATCTATCAGAGGGGAGTCATTTTTTTCCTTCCATCCCCTCCGCATCCAGAAAGGGAGCTGGCATCAAAGTCTGAGCACCTCACTTGGTGAATAGCCCCAGCAGGAATGACGAGGTCAGAGCTGTCCTTTGGAAAGCAGTTCTGAGAGCTGTAGTCCTGGATGGATTAGAAGAGGAGAGGCTGTGGGCATGAAGACAACCTATAGCAGCTACTGCAATAATCTAGGTGAGAGATGATGAGACATGAATTGGGCAGCAGGAGTGGGCTGAAGAGGAGAAGATAGGTGGGAAAATAGTTTAGTGGGAGAACAAGAAACTGACAGACGTGGGAGATGAGGGAAAAGTAAACAACACTAGGTTTAGAGCTTGAGGAACTCAGAGGATAGTACCTTTAATAGGATGAGGGAAATAAGAAACAAGCTGTTTTGGAAGTAGGGTGGAAGACAGTGACTTTAGTTTTGTACATGGGGAATGCAGACATCCAAGGTAATGTTTCCGTCAAGCAGTTGAATATGCAAGGCTGGACTCGAGAGGTCTGGACTGCAGATATCAATTTGGGAGTTTCAGCGGGAAGAAAGTGTGAGGTGAGGGTGAGGTGGCACCCAAAGAGAGAAGAGGCTCGAGCCTAGAGGAATACCTACACTTCAGCCCCAAACAAGGGGGAGGGCTCAAAAGAGTCTGAGAAAGAGCTGAGGGTTTGAGAGAAAACCAGGAAAGTATGGTTTTGCCAGCCAAAGGGAGGTCCGGGAAGGACGTTGGAGAGGGAGGCTATGGAGACGAGGACTGACAAGAAGCTGTTGTTTTTAGTAGTTAGTTGCTGGTCCCAGTAGGCCTGGTCACAACAGCTACTCTCACATCAAATGAAGCACTGAGGGAGGGTTCTGGATAATTCACATATTCCCCACTCACGTTAACCTTAGTTATCAGGGTATTGCAGAAGAAATACGTGTAATTACTTCATAAAGTTTAACATCGCTCAGAATTTCCAAATCCCCTCAGTCCTCAACTTCATCGGGCTCAATAAGAGGAAATTGCAAAGACTGGAGGGCGAGGCTGAAGACTGCATATAAGGTAAACATAAATATCAATGAGGTTTCGCCTTCCGCCAATCAGGCCCGGGGAGAACCTTCCCCGGGCTCATTGGAGCCCCGCCCCCTCATAAATATGTAGACAGCACCGCCCGCCGCGCACTGCCCCGCCCTCTACTCTTCTCCCTCGCAACGGACTCTCCCTTCAAACGGGAAACAAGATGGCGGCGGCAGGTCCGAGTACTCGGGCCTCTTCCGCGGCGGCAGCGGCAGCTCTCAGTCGGCGGGGCCGACGGGGCCGCTGTGACGAGATGGCGGCAGCCAAGACTGGGGCCCCGGGCGCAGCCTCTGGCCCCGCGCTGCTGGTATTGCCGCCACCGCTGCTGCAGCCGCCGCCACCGCCGCGGCCGGAGGAGTCGGGCTGCGCCGGGTGCTTGGAGACCCCGGGGGAAGCGGCGGCCCTGCCGTGCGGCCACTCGCTGTGCCGAGGCTGCGCCCAGCGCGCCGCCGACGCAGCGGGCCCGGGTTGCCCGCGCTGCCGAGCCCGCGGTCCCGGTTGGGCCCGCCGTCGGGCCCGCGACGACGGCCAGGCCGACGCGGAGGTGCAGGGCGAGCGCGCCCGCCGCGGCCAGCCCGAGCGCTGCCGCCCGCGCCGGGACGGGGGC